AATCCGCTAAGAGAGGTTGTATCTTCAGGTAAGATACTCTTTGTGTAAGATACGTCTTTCGCAACTTCGTCCGTGCCCACGTCTACCTTGAGCGTCTGCGTCTCAAATTCGGTCTTGTCGATATCCATTTCTTCATATACGGCATTGTGGTATTGATGCACTTGTCGGGATAGAGAGAAAGTTGTTTCTCTCCAGACCCCTTTGCCGTACACAGCACTTGATGATTTTTCAGGTCCGATGTCTATGGCCACAGTCTGTACTTCAAACATTGATGCGTCAATAGGAATATTCTCATAGATGCCATCTTCATCGAGCTCTGAATATCCCTTAAGCTTCCCTGAATATTTTCTTCTAAATAAAGGAATGGAAAAGAATAAACCTCAACAGACAGACGAAAAAAGCACTCTATGGTTCATACCATTGACCGATCCTTATAAGGGGTGCAAACGTAATTCTAGTGCATGGCCCTTGTACTATTGTATCCTTTGTGGGCGTTGATAAATGTCCCTACCAGCAGCTTTTTGTTTGTTTATTTTTACTTTCTTATAATGCAATGACAAAGACTTGCTGAATATAACTGCTTCTATTTCCTATAACAACTAATACACGACTAACGTGCACGCTACAACAACACACGTACCGACATGATCGTAGAAGGAAAATTATTGCAGCTGTCAGCAGCAGGGCAATGAAAATCATTGCTGGTATAACTGTAAAGGAAGCAAGAGAACAGTTTCACATTTACCTTGGCCAACAGGCTACATCTGGCGAGCCACTTCCAGTGCGCGTGCGTTCATTTATACGATTTAGGCTCCGGATTGAAGAAATAGGTCAACCTAATTTTTTTTGTTAGGTGTTGTGGTGGTGGTTGTAAACAAACGTTTAAAATGTGTGTAGGAACTGGCTTACACAACGAAATGACAATTACGTCTATGATTCGTTTTGAAGGACCACCCCGAAATATCATCGAAGGAAAGAATAAACATTCTACAGTTCTTAGTCAACAGTCCTATTCAATACTACGTTCACCCGAACGATCAAACTCAACCTACTTTTGAAATGACTCCTGGGTTGAAACCTTCCACAGTTCACAAAACAGAAAAGGTTATATCAAAAAACAAGGCCAACTTTAGCTTGTAAAATGGGCTAATGGGTGAGGGAAACTCGTAAAGAAAAAGAAAACAAATAAAAAAATTTTAAAACAAAGAAGGAACAAAACAGAAACAAACAAATCTAATTCCAAAAGGCCTGAAACTTTACACTCACCTAAGTAACGAGTATCAAACCCAGATGACCTTTCCTTTGGCTCATCATCGGAACGTTGAAGCACGACGCCCAGTGAAGGAAAGTCCTCTAAAAATAAATAAAATAAATAAAAATAAATAACCAACAAAGGATTCTCTTGGCATACCAGGTTAAGCCAATCCACAAGACTGTTCACAGTGGGCAATATACATTAACATTGTCATTGTCTCAAATTTTACCCGAGTCGCATCCATACATTGCCATGCGCAAGCAAGCTGATGTGCCATGGTAGGTGACTGGGTGGATTCGAATGTAATGAGCGCTTGTTCCATAGAGAGAAACGTTTCTGCCATTGATATCCTCATTTGCTCTGAACTGCAAATCAGACAACATTAATTAGTACCATTACAATAAACCTTAGAAGGTCATAGCTGTTAATGCTGTTTGTCGTTTTTTTGTGAAAAAGGTATTGATGCTGTGATATGGGAGAAAGTCCCTTCGAGGCGTCTATTCAAAATTGTTCCTGCCGAAACTTTACCACGTAAATAGGAATCCTCTTTACCTGTTTGAACAGGTTGCAATAGCAAAGCCACATTTGCCAAATATAGGCTTAATGTTAGTTGGGGACGTAATGTGACGATGAATTAGTGCGTGAAACTAAAGAGTGTCTTGTTTTCTTCTCTTATCGTAGGATGAAAAGGCGAGATATAAAGATATAAAGAAAAATATATAAAGAAACTTACAATTCTGATGTTTCCGCCTTCAGTGTAGTTGACAAACGATTCAGTTTCCGAGTTGTTGCTGGTCGATACGTAATAGCTTTCAACCCACATGGGTGTGGCTCCATCTGTGACCCCTTCTGTTTCAATAACGGTGACATTCGTGAGATATCCTAAATAAAAAGGGGAAAAAGCGTCAAATGGTAAGAATATGCAGCTTTCAAACAGTCCATCTCCAATCAACATTTTTGTTCATTTGGGTGAAGATAGAAAAAAAAATTTGCTCAAGTTCCTTCCCAACCTTATCAACAACAAGAAGATAACCCTTTGCCGTCGGCCAATTTTTAGGGAAAAACCGCATTTACCCAAGGAATGGCCGAAAAAGAGATTTCCAACACTAAGCACACATTTTTTTGCTAACTGGATCTAATTAAGCCAAATGTCGCTTGTTATTTTGTCTTTATCTCAACATTTGCAGCATTTGCTAAATGAGCTACCAGTGGAAAGATCTATCCTGGCAAATTTTGCTGATTACCATCTTAAAAGCTTAAATGAAAAGCTTAATTGGTCCAGGAATAATATGCATGGATCCAAATGGACCAAAAACGACTAAAGTGGCGTCAAAGAGTTGATCCATTTATACCAAAACTCTTTCAACACAGCTTACTTAGACGGTGGATTGTTGTTTAATATTTTGCATTTGCCGATGAGCAATCCTAAATTTCAACACTTTATTTGGGATGGAGGGTTAATACACAAAGGCTTACCAAAGAACACTTGAATGTAAGGTGCTGTGTCTGTAGTTGCTGCGCACCATCCGTCCCCCCACGATCCCAATTTTTCTACTCCAATTCTTCCACGGTATGACGAGCGCCCTTCGACTTTTCTCGACGAGGCAGTAATGTCTTTATCTGGAATTCGTCGCGTATTCGGCACTTTAAGACCTAACTCACGGAATCCACAACCTGAGATAAGAAGTGCATTATACATTATGTTTTATTGTCGTTTGTTTTGGAGGCAAATGTAGTCTTTCTTTTCGATGCGTCTGGATTTTTGACACACATTTATTGATATATAGCGTTCTAAAATTCAGCAAACGGTAGTTGCAGTCTTATGACGACTTACCAAGCTGGCACTGTCTTCCATAAAATCCCCGACGGCAGTCGCATTGGTAACTGCGCCCGACAGTTATACACGTTCCATC